CCGAATAAATAAGATTAAGGCCGGTTGAACATGGTATAATATCATTTAATTTACTAATTTAATATAATTTTACCAAATGATATAATATCGGTTGTACATTGTATAATATAAATTAATAATTTAATAATTCTGCCAAATAATATAATAATATATTATAAACTTAATAATATAATAATATAGCTCTTTCAAATAAAATCGGTTGTACATGGTATCAATTCTATATCTTTATGTATAAAATAAGATTAGACTTAAATTATTTTAGTAATCTTTTCCCGTCATGCATTAATTATTACCTAATTTTAGTATTCCTTGACAATTCGGGATAGCATATCTCGGCGCATTAATTGTCAAATGATATGGAATAATTGATTTAATAGTTGATGGATTCAATTCCCGGTTTTTATGGAATCAAATATCAGGTGTATACACGTTTCAAATAATTTAATAATATAATAATAGGCTGAATGATTTATGCGTCGAATTCATGCAAAGAAAATTTTGAACAGATTTCTAAAATCATGGTTTGTATATATCATCTATTCATCAATTGAATTTTTTTCTACATTATCGGTTTGAAAAGGAAAACGAATTTTATATACCTTATCGGTTTTGATAATACAAATGTTATAACCATTGTCATTATTTATTTTAAAAGATAATGTATATCATTTATTTGCTTTCAAAAGATGAAATTTTTTTCATAGTTTAGGTCTCTTTTTATTTATGCATTTACACAAATTATCTAAACGATTGGCAATAAAATTTGTTATATATTGAATCAAACCAGTAATTAATAAAAAAGTCCATCAATCACGAAATTAAATAATTAACAAACGATCACTACATTTAAAAGATTAAATTTTTGAGATAAACATTCATTTATATTGTCACGACGAAAAAAAGGGGGAGTGTCAGTCTTTATCGCATGTTTGCATATTTTTTTAAAAAAAACATGTTTTTAGTTACAACCACTTATATATTGCAATTTCGCTTGATGCAAATAGAAAATGGTTGATAATATTAATTTGTGGGAATAACAAGTTCCTCAATAATCAAACTAATAATATTTTTTACAATTAGGTTTTTAATAACACGTGATTTTTTCAGACCCAAAATATTAATTACCAGCTATAGATGGAAATATTATAATATGATATAAATAAAAAATAAATTATTAATTGCATAATTTTCATATAACTCGACTTTCGGTCTATGTTTGTTTTAGTCAATTCTTGGTTTCCTTTAAATACATAGATAGTGGTTTTGCAGGCAAAGATTATGTGAATAATTATATGTAGCCGATTTTGAAATTTTCATTTATCGAGGATTCTTTTTTTTTTTTT